AGAATATCTGTATCACCTTGTGGTTCTTTCTGTGCTTTGCTTTTCCTGTATCTTATTCTCATTTCTCTCTCCCTTTCCCCATCTCTGATTTGAATTTTTCTCTTAAAAATTTCTAATTTGGAAAAAAAGTTTATCAGGCACCTATTATAAAGAAAGTATTGCTAGTTCAATTGCACTAAAAATGAAAACCTAAGGGTGATTTTAGAAACCATATGAGCCCTACTTCGTCTGTGTGATGAATACATGATGTGGACAGGATGTAAGTGTCTTTGTGCACATCACATATTCATTTTAAAAGGTGAATATGTATAAAGGAGAGAGTTTTTATGCTGTTTTTCAATTAGAAAAAAGAAAAAGAAAAAGAAAATTTGAGTCCTATGCTTGTCTTAAACTTTACAATCAACTTTGTGAAGTTATAGATCTCAGAATAAAATACATATTGTTGAATATTAATGTTATTTAATATTATTAGATTTCCTGAGTGGTGAACCAATTCATGGAAACATACCATCAGAATTTAGAGTCTGTGACTTTTACCTTATAACTTAGCCTCTAACTCATAGCCATTAAATGTCTTTTCCTACAGTGATAAAGAAATCTTAGATTTATCTATCATATAGTAATAATTTCAGGTAAAAAAATCCATCCAGCATGCCTCACAAGGATCAAGCGTAAATTCTTTTTTACCCTAATTATTTTGGCTATAAATATTTGGTGTCATGGTTTGTTGGAAGCCGTAGATGAGTCGCAAGGGCTGAGGTTGAAACAGCTCACCATCTGCAGAGGCAGGGTCCGTTTTCCGAGACCTCACAGTGACACTGGAAGGCCTGGAGAGGTCGGTACCTACTCTCCAGACCTGCACCTCCACATGGCCAGCGCTCTCATCCACAGAGTACTGCATGTCTCCGAAGTAGAAGGTGGGTTCTGTGGAGAAATAGCAGAATCATTTTATTTTGACTTTTTCAAATGCTGTCATCTTGATTACAGAGTTAGCTCCATCTTACGTCATTATATTTTTGTAAGCATCTTAGGTCAGCATACATTTGTAAGTTAATACCTCTTTAATCTGGAATTTGTATAATTTCCAGATATCACTGCTTAGAAACAAAATACATTGAAATCTTGAGGCCTAAGAATTGGTTTGTTTCCCATATATGAGATTATAAACAGCTTCTAACTGCACCTCTGGCAAGTTTCGATGGACAGATACAACCAAATGAAACATAACACAAAAAACTATCATTTTTTTTTAAAGTTTGGCTTGGGTGATCATTTTATCATTTCCTCTCAAGTTTTATTTCTAGTACAGAGAAGCTGCTGTGTGATTATGCTATCTTCTAGATCATTACATTTAGTTCTAATCATTGCATTTGGCTATATTTAGATTTATTCCAGTCACTACAGTTAGAACCTGTTGGCATAACTAATTGAGTTTAAGTGATTACCAGTCCTGAAAACTTTAGAGGAACTGGTGAATAATTTCTGGCTACCTATAGCTTTGGGAATCTTCTATACCAGTGTATATTTCATTAAGAAGTTAGACATTGTCCTCAAGTATGAAAGTAATGTGACATAGGTCACTGAGATAGGGTACATGCTTTGGAACTCTGTATTTCTCTCCAGTGTTGCTGAAGAATTTGAACTGATTTACTATTTTCCATCTGATTCTCCCTGTGACTGACAACTTACTTTGTGATGTAGCCTCCAGAAGTCTGAAGTGTGATAGAAGACTGATAAAGGAAACTGAAAGATGATTTGTAAATTTATTTAAAAACATTTCTAAGTATAATACCCTCACAGGAAATTGTAAATGTATTAGTCTTTCTTTGTTGTGAACTTATTTAAAGATCACTAACAAAGGTATATAATTGAATGGTACAAATGTGACCAGCCCTTTGATGTGAGACATTCTAGTCATTAGTCTCCAGTTTTACAAGATTCGAAGGACTTAATCTAGAAGGACAGCAATTTATATCACTTAGACTACAAGGTCATTAAAAAGATCACCTCATGTTTCAGAGATGTTAACTAAATTCTCAAATATACAAAATGAAGCAAAATTCTGAAAGAATGGTTCACAGAGCCACTTGGGAAGCCGGAAGAAAAAGAATCCTTTGCACACTGCTGAAGCTGAGTAAATTCTGTATTTTCCTGTCCTCCAACCTTTACTAACATTAGCACTTTGCTTTCTCTGTTTCTTCACATAGCAGATATGATTAAAAGCATGCAATTGATCTGAACCTTTGAATAAGACAAAACCCACCCTGGAAATTCTGTTTTGGTATTTTGGCTCAGCAGGTGATACATTTGCCTATAACATGGTTTACCTCCCTCCCTTCTTTTCAACTCGGACAGTGCTGGAGCATGTGAGTGAAGGTGTACAGATGAAGGCGTTATCTCAACTAACTGCAGTCCAAGTAGACCTGCAGAAGCCAATGCGTTCCTTACATTTCTTACTTCTAAGGAGGGGGCAAAGGTGAAGGCACAGAAGCCCTGAAAACACTTACTCTGACCAGATGGCCAAACCAGGAAAACTGCCTGTCTTTTCAAAGGCTTTTATAACTATTATGGAAGTTTGATCACCTGCATCCAACAAGTGGTCTCTCTAAATCTCTTTTCATTCCTGGAAACCTGCATCATCACACGGGTTTAGGTTTCTGAGGTAGGGAGAGAGCTGTGAAACACAGTAAGGAAGGTTTGCGTACTGAATAGCGTTACCTCCCGTCTTCCTACTCCTCAGATTTGCATCAGAACATATGGGAACAGAATAAAATCATTTAAGTGAGTTCAACCATGAAACACCAGAGGAATTATGTATTAGGGCAAAATTGTGTTTTGCATGTGTAAGTTTTCAGATTTCATTTTGCCAACTACAGAATAAGTATTTTACTTTATACTTTAATGTGTAATTCATATAAAAAAGGGAGTCATATGAAGTACTCTCAGAATTTATATCCAATTTGTCATTCAGAATGAAGATTAATGACAATAATTACCACATATGCTTTATATGAGAGAAAGAGAAAGAGGAGCAGTAGCACGGCACATGTAACAATGCCACAGATCATGAGTCACATAACCACCCAAAAGTCTAATCATACAGCCTCTTATGCTTTGATCATTATGTCTAGCAAAAAGCAGGAGGGTAATGAAAACTGAGTGTTTTTTCAGCTTTAATTGAATTTATTAGTACATTTTAGGGATACAGTACAGTTACATTCATTGTTGGGATCTTGTACCTCTACATGACAGGTCTTGGTTCTCATTTTTTCCCCTTGTCCCTGCCCTCCCTTCAGCCCCTCCTCCCCTCCCCATCTACAAACACTTTATTTCCATCTTTTCATTATCTCACATTTTTTTCTTTCCCCTTATTACCCTTCCCCTACCCATCCCACCTTCCCTACACCTTTAGCTCCTTCCTTCCCATTTCTAAATGTCAGTAATCTTATTAGGATCTTCTGTATTATTGCAGATTGTTCACACCAGAGAAACTATTTGGTAACTGAGTTTTAATCATAAATCCCTCAATTTTGATACAGCAGTTAATAGAATTAGTAAAATTTAAGGATATCTTCTATTATTGCAGATTGTTCACACCAGAGAAACTATTTGGTAACTGAGTTTTAATCATAAATCCCTCAATTTTGATACAGCAGTTAATAGAATTAGTAAAATTTATTAACTACTTCCTTAAAGGAAAGGAAGCTCTTGATTATTAATAGTTTTAAATTATTTATATAATTTCTCCCCTTCTCTGTTCTCCCCTGAGGATGATTAAAAAACAGGTAAAATAAACAACTGGAATTATTGTAGTTTGAGGTGATTAATTATTATAAGATTAAAACTCAAATCAATAATTTATATGACAAAACAGAAAGAAACAAATCCACAAAGTTGAACTGCCCAATTTCTCGTGCCATGAATAAGAAAGAAATGGCTAGAGATCACCATCTTTGTATCTCCTTTCAGTATAGGTGAATGAGAACTGAAAATGTTATGAAATCTCTAAAATTTGAATGTTTATGATTCTTTATTCAAAACTGTATGTAATACAAAGGAGTTACAGATCCTTGAAGCAGTGTGATGAGTTGCAAGAAAAATGGCAAGTTGTTTCTGAAACAGTTTAATTGGTTTTGAGAAAGCCAGAGGAAGAAAGGGATAAGTGGGTGAAGGTAATGAACATAAAATATGACGATAACTATGCATAATGCAGAATATTGCTTGTGCTAGCAAATAATTCTTGGTTATAAAAAAGCTTTTTAACACACTTCTTTTTTGGTAAACCCTTTTTTTTTGGCCCAGGAACCAGGTCAAAAGTACACACTGTGTTTTGTACTATATTCACGTTCACAGAATTAGTGGCGAAAAGAGCTAGAGGCTGATATTATTAATGGGAATGAGAACATAACTGAGTAAAATCACATATCCTGTGCCCCACACCCCCATAACACTTGCAACAGCCACTTCTCATCAGCCCCACCGTCAGAAGATACTCCAGAATGCGTGTTTATTTCCTCTGCAGAGGGGAGATAAATCATAGCGAACTGTGTGCGAGTAGCACAAGGGAGGTTTTCAATTGGCTCCTGGAAAGAGTGTGACTCTCCTACTGGGTGTCAAGACCTTCTCTCCATCCTTTGTGGTCTCATACTTTTGAATCAAGTGCACAGATCAAAAGCATTGATTGCAAAGCAGTCTATTTCAGCTCCTTAAACATTAATAAGACTCTCACTGCTGGAGAGGCTTTCACTCCAAACAGCACAGACAGAATCACATTTGTTTCCTGCAAATGTAGAATGAAAGGCTTGAAACCTATACAGGACATACACCTGCAACCAAGTACAAAGAGTAAGTTTCTTTTCCCCCTGGAAAAAAGTGCTCTCTCTCTCTCTCTCTCTCTCTCTCTCTCTCTCTTTCTCTGTGTGTGTCTAGGTTGACATTTACATTTAAATTGTCTAAAGAGATGAAAGAGACACACCAGGAGTAATTGCTACCTGGAGCCAAATCTTATTTACTTATGTGTACAAGAAGCATCAGTCAATTAGATTTGTGGGTCTGACTAACATGTTTGCTCAGAAGTGAGTGGAGTTAAGAGCTTTTATGTTGTCTTTTGGTTCAGTAGTGAAAATAATGTAAAGGAGCCTTCTAAAATTGTCTCCAACTCAGATCTCTATTTTGAGCTTTGGACTTTGATAACTTATTACCTACTCAACCCATTTTCCATGGGCACCTCAAGATAGACTTCTTCCAAACAGAGTCAACAGTCAAAGTCACATGCAGTCCTCTGGTTTCTCTCCGCCTCACTGCCACTCACCTGGATGTAACCAGAATCGCCATTTGAATTCCTCCACTAAGCACCTCAAAAGGCTCTTAACCAAAATGGACATCCCCCAAAGCAGATTGCATCTTGGTAATTAATCCCTTTGCTCAATACAAGCCAAGGTTTTCCATTGCACTTAGGATTGTTCATGAATGCTTAACGTGGTTTCCAGGACACAGACATGTTTGGTCTCAGTTGTCTCTGAAATCTCATGTTAATGCCTTTTTCACTCCACTCTGTGATCAGCGTCTTGAATGTCTTCCACAGGCTGTTCCTGGGCTTTGCTGTATCACTGATGACCCTACTGACTGTCACATTCCTCACCCGAGGAACTCTTCTCTTCCTTCAGGCTTCTTCTGAGTTGTCACTTCTGAGGGAAACACTCACCTTCCTTGATCAAAAATCTCATTCATTTCTTTGCAGTATCTCTGCAGATTTGTGTCCCTCACTGTCTCAGGGGAAGAATATTGATCCCTTTAGTCACTGGTGTTTTTCTATCTTAGCTCCATCAATCCCTGGCGATAGATTATCAATTAATGTCTGTAGAATGAATTAGCATCAAGTGAAATGGATTATTTATGGGCTACAGCAAATGAATATTTGCAGC